GACTGATATACATGAAATGGTTACTGCTGTTTCTTACCCCCTGACGGCCAGGTATGTTTTTCCTCCTCTATATGCATTCTTGCCTCACAATGCTTCATGATTTATACAAATTTTTAATTCATAAATTTAATGATTTTTCCCTTTCTAACTGTTACAGGGTGTTCTAGTGGGTACACATAAAGGTGGCTTTGGATTCCCACCATATTTCCATGACCCATTTTTTCCTCCCTGTTTCCATTCACTGTAAGACTTAAGTGCTAAAACACAATTCACTATCCTCGAAGATTTTCCTCCCTGTACATGGAAGAACAAAATGTTAAAGTTGAATACAATTGCATTATAGTAATGCAGCATTGCCTGATTCGAGTCTATTAAAGTAATGAAAGGTAATGAACTTTCTTAGCGCACCTGTTCTATATCAGACACTTCAAAGGTGGGAAGCCCCATTTCTTCCATAGTTACCAGAAAATTCATTACATATTCAAAGTATTGGTAAGTAGACAGAGGTGCCCCATCAGGAATGATAACACTATCGCAGGGGACTTCAACTACCTAACAGTACAGGTTCAATCATTGTCATTTGTCAGAAAGTAATAGTGATATTGATTGATATCCAATGTCAAGAACATGCATGTTTAAATAATACTCAGATGGAAGAAGAACTATAATCTAGATTTCAGTTTCATGAAAAAGAAGCAAACATGCGTACACACACCTTGGGCACTGCTCCGGGTTGAATTTTGTTAAGAGCATTGCAAAGGACAATGCCACTTCGTAATGCAATCCTGAAATCTTCTTCAGTAGGCTCATCTGGAATGTCTTTCCCTCCAACAACTCCAACTGTCTTTCTTAGCCACCCAGCTGCTTCATTCCTTCTTGAGGCTGCAATACCACTCACTAGTCTTAGTTTCATGCATTCTAACAACTATCAAACTTGTATTGTTTTTCTTGTTGTTGTGATGCCATCAAAATATAGGGTTTACTACAACCAATCCAAAGAACCACAAAACTTGTGATTCTTTAATGCTCTTGCTATTGATATCCAATCAGAATCAGAATTTCACTTCGTATTTGATGTTTAATGAAAACATTATGCATATTAACATAACGACATGAAACTTTAATTCTGATTGAAAATAACACCAAAGTATCTAAAATCCTGTATCCAAATTCTGTACTTCAAATTTAAAAAAGAACACAAACAAGTGTCAAAAAACCAACGTTGTCAATGGATTGAATGTGAACATTGCCTAAAAAAAATATATTAAGAATGGAAGAGAGAGAGAGAGGATATGTACAAGCTTCTTCTGCCATCCTTGATGCCAAGTGAATGTCGCTTAAACAGCTTCCGTGCGTCTGAAGAACATCTTCGACCACAGATACAACAGAGAATGACAAGGCTAGCTCTGGCGCCATGACTTGGCCTCAACCAACAACTCAAAAACAACAACAAAAATTCCAACAGGAGTCTGTTACAAATCTAAGACATTACAGCTAAAAGAATATAATCCAAGCCTTCCATGAAGAAGCTCGATCATGTTCAAAATGGCACCATAGTTTAGCTAAATTCAGAGGGAAAGGCAAAAAGAATGAACCTTTTGCCCCCCCGTGATTCTGAGAAGAGCTGCTGCAGAATCACAGAGAAAGGCAAGGAATTGTAGAAAGAAAAGATAAAATGGCTATTGAAAATTTTCTCTTTCTTTGTCAGGGCAATTTTTTCCTTGTTGGTGTAGTTTCCCGTTTCTAATATTGACGTGAAAAAGCTACACCAAACCTGGTTCCGAGCCTCTCGCCTAGTTTATATCTCACTGTTCTAACAAATATGTTATAACTAATATTTGCATGTAAATATGGTAAGAAAATAGTAACTATTTTTATGTAAAATTCTACACATTTATTATTATATTTTGTACTTTCAACTCACTCTATATCACAGCTATACTATAGTTTGGACTTGATGATTACAGCTACCTTTTCGCCAATAAACAAAAACATCCTAGTAACGTTGGTTGCAAAATATTCATTAAGTATAAAAAAATTAAATATTTACTAAGTTTACTCTAAAAAGCAAGAATTTCTTATATTGATATGCATAAAAAGGAAAGATATAATTAGTGGTAATCAAATTTACTTTTTCAGCCAACTAATTGTAATTCTTAATGGCGTGTATATATATATATATATATATATATATATATATATATCGTTGCTTATAATTTGTAAGTATCTTTAGTTAATGTACTTCGTATACATTAACAATTATACAGGAAAAGTTAAACGCATTAAATTATGTGGGGAAAAAAATATTATTAATTAATCTTTGTGTTCTTTTTAATTTGTTGTCAGAATCAAAACTTGCACTTCTTTTTCAGTTTGGATGAAAAATAGTGACAATGAATGTTATAATTAAAACGTATGCATCTAAATTTGTCATTTGCTTTTCAGTGAGATGGAATTAAATAATAAAAAAATGTAAATTAATTGATGGTTGTTTCGAAAAACAGCTCTTTTAAAATAGTATTTTATGCTCATAATTTGTACAGGAAGAACAGATCGCTGATGAGACCAACAAGCTAATTATGCAATAATAGGGTGTTAATACTGCATCATTATCTATATTTAAACGTATAGTAAATATTTATTCATATCCGTACTTGCATTTATATACCTATTAAATATTTTAGTAAAATTGATAAGATATAATATTAATCATATATTGGAATAAGAAACAAAACAAAAATAGGAAAATATAAAATAAGGAAGAATAGGAATGCGAAATATAGAAAGAAATAAATAAATAACATAACAATATTATAAAATCAATGAACTGGATCACAGTCCTCTCTATTTGAATACTTGGATCATTGGACTTATATTTAAATTATATAGCATAGTTTTTCTTTTAAATTCAAGTTATTTGGGTAATTGGAAATATACAATAGACTTAATGTATAAGGAATAATTTTAATTTTGTGATGGATGGAAATAAAAATAGGTAGAAGGTTCAATTTTTCCTTCCCTTTTTCACTTTATTTTTTTCTGTTTTCTTTTTCTTTTTTTCTTTCTTTCTATATTTTTATAAAACAAAAATAGATTGTAAGGAGCCTCTCTCCCCCTCNAGGATTCCCACCATATTTCCATGACCCATTTTTTCCTCCCTGTTTCCATTCACTGTAAGACTTAAGTGCTAAAACACAATTCACTATCCTCGAAGATTTTCCTCCCTGTACATGGAAGAACAAAATGTTAAAGTTGAATACAATTGCATTATAGTAATGCAGCATTGCCTGATTCGAGTCTATTAAAGTAATGAAAGGTAATGAACTTTCTTAGCGCACCTGTTCTATATCAGACACTTCAAAGGTGGGAAGCCCCATTTCTTCCATAGTTACCAGAAAATTCCTTACATTTTCAAAGTATTGGTAAGTAGACAGAGGTGCCCCATCAGGAATGATAACACTATCGCAGGGGACTTCAACTACCTAACAGTACAGGTTCAACCATTGTCATTTGTCAGAAAGTAATAGTGATATTGATTGATATCCAATGTCAAGAACATGCATGTGTAAATAATACTCAGAAGGAAGAAGAACTATAATCTAGATTTCAGTTTCATGAAAAAGAAGCAAACATGCGTACACACACCTTGGGCACTGCTCCGGGTTGAATTTTGTTAAGAGCATTGCAAAGGACAATGCCACTTCGTAATGCAATCCTGAAATCTTCTTCAGTAGGCTCATCTGGAATGTCTTTCCCTCCAACAACTCCAACTGTCTTTCTTAGCCACCCAGCTGCTTCATTCCTTCTTGAGGCTGCAATACCACTCACTAGTCTTAGTTTCATGCATTCTAACAACTATCAAACTTGTATTGTTTTTCTTGTTGTTGTGATGCCATCAAAATATAGGGTTTACTACAACCAATCCAAAGAACCACAAAACTTGTGATTCTTTAATGCTCTTGCTATTGATATCCAATCAGAATCAGAATTTCACTTCGTATTTGATGTTTAATGAAAACATTATGCATATTAACATAACGACATGAAACTTTAATTCTGATTGAAAATAACACCAAAGTATCTAAAATCCTGTATCCAAATTCTGTACTTCAAATTTAAAAAAGAACACAAACAAGTGTCAAAAAACCAACGTTGTCAATGGATTGAATGTGAACATTGCCTAAAAAAAATATATTAAGAATGGAAGAGAGAGAGAGAGGATATGTACAAGCTTCTTCTGCCATCCTTGATGCCAAGTGAATGTCGCTTAAACAGCTTCCGTGCGTCTGAAGAACATCTTCGACCACAGATACAACAGAGAATGACAAGGCTAGCTCTGGCGCCATGACTTGGCCTCAACCAACAACTCAAAAACAACAACAAAAATTCCAACAGGAGTCTGTTACAAATCTAAGACATTACAGCTAAAAGAATATAATCCAAGCCTTCCATGAAGAAGCTCGATCATGTTCAAAATGGCACCATAGTTCAGCTAAATTCAGAGGGAAAGGCAAAAAGAATGAACCTTTTGCCCCCCCGTGATTCTGAGAAGAGCTGCTGCAGAATCACAGAGAAAGGCAAGGAATTGTAGAAAGAAAAGATAAAATGGCTATTGAAAATTTTCTCTTTCTTTGTCAGGGCAATTTTTTCCTTGTTGGTGTAGTTTCCCGTTTCTAATATTGACGTGAAAAAGCTACACCAAACCTGGTTCCGAGCCTCTCGCCTAGTTTATATCTCACTGTTCTAACAAATATGTTATAACTAATATTTGCATGTAAATATGGTAAGAAAATAGTAACTATTTTTATGTAAAATTCTACACATTTATTATTATATTTTGTACTTTCAACTCACTCTATATCACAGCTATACTATAGTTTGGACTTGATGATTACAGCTACCTTTTCGCCAATAAACAAAAACATCCTAGTAACGTTGGTTGCAAAATATTCATTAAGTATAAAAAAATTAAATATTTACTAAGTTTACTCTAAAAAGCAAGAATTTCTTATATTGATATGCATAAAAAGGAAAGATATAATTAGTGGTAATCAAATTTACTTTTTCAGCCAACTAATTGTAATTCTTAATGGCGTGTATATATATATATATATATATATATATATATATATCGTTGCTTATAATTTGTAAGTATCTTTAGTTAATGTACTTCGTATACATTAACAATTATACAGGAAAAGTTAAACGCATTAAATTACGTGGGGAAAAAAATATTATTAATTAATCTTTGTGTTCTTTTTAATTTGTTGTCAGAATCAAAACTTGCACTTCTTTTTCAGTTTGGATGAAAAATAGTGACAATGAATGTTATAATTAAAACGTATGCATCTAAATTTGTCATTTGCTTTTCAGTGAGATGGAATTAAATAATAAAAAAATGTAAATTAATTGATGGTTGTTTCGAAAAACAGCTCTTTTAAAATAGTATTTTATGCTCATAATTTGTACAGGAAGAACAGATCGCTGATGAGACCAACAAGCTAATTATGCAATAATAGGGTGTTAATACTGCATCATTATCTATATTTAAACGTATAGTAAATATTTATTCATATCCGTACTTGCATTTATATACCTATTAAATATTTTAGTAAAATTGATAAGATATAATATTAATCATATATTGGAATAAGAAACAAAACAAAAATAGGAAAATATAAAATAAGGAAGAATAGGAATGCGAAATATAGAAAGAAATAAATAAATAACATAACAATATTATAAAATCAATGAACTGGATCACAGTCCTCTCTATTTGAATACTTGGATCATTGGACTTATATTTAAATTATATAGCATAGTTTTTCTTTTAAATTCAAGTTATTTGGGTAATTGGAAATATACAATAGACTTAATGTATAAGGAATAATTTTAATTTTGTGATGGATGGAAATAAAAATAGGTAGAAGGTTCAATTTTTCCTTCCCTTTTTCACTTTATTTTTTTCTGTTTTCTTTTTCTTTTTTTCTTTCTTTCTATATTTTTATAAAACAAAAATAGATTGTAAGGAGCCTCTCTCCCCCTCTTTTAACTCACTTATTTATTTGATTTTAATTTCAATTCTCATTTCTCTCATTACCAAATCCTAACCTTTAAACGAATATCTACTTCATTGAATTTTGAAATAGAGAGAATTCGTTTTTACTTTGTTGTTTAGTTCTTTCAAATAGCTTCTAAAAATCCTTTTAATTTGTATTTTTAGTTAGAAGTTCATATATGTGTTTCTTTTTTTCTTCTTGAATTTCTAAAAGCTTGACATTTTTTTTAATTTCAAGAAAAATAAATAAATAAGAGAATTTAGTTTATTTAGTTTTTTTTTATTGAGTTATGATTTTAGAAAAGTTGAAAAGTATGAAACTTAGTACATTATTAATCGATGAAATTGAATTGATATTTGATTTTATCGTATTTGTATATGTCTCTTTTGACTTTAAGATAATTAGTTTTGAAAACAGATAATTTAAAAGCAGCAATACTTAAAGTGATTAACTACACATATTATATCGATTAGATATAACTACGTATAAAAAATTAATACAAAGTCAAAACTAATGTTATATTTTAAATTTTCAAATGATTTGAAGGATTTTAAAACTACTAGAAAATATTGATAAATTCATTACTATTACCATCTGAATTTTTTATAGCAACAATAAATTCATCACAATATTTTAAAATTCATAATAACTTGTCTGGTTATTTTACTCTTTCAACTTGAAAACAGATCGTATATTGTTACTAATTATTATATCAAAAAAATACTGCTAAAACTAAAACTATAGACTAAGCTAGTTCAAAGTTGAATGCTAAATAACTATTAAATTTTAAAAAGTTAAGTAAATTAACTGTTGATCAAGAAACTAAATTTATTATGGCGGTAAAGATACAATTATAGTTATTTGGTCGGTACGGTAATTATATATTTAAATGATTCAAATAAAAATAAATAAGATTTTTTTTTCAATACCAAATACAAATAATCCATTTTTAAGATTTATATTTTCTAAAATTCATAATTGTAATGATTATAATCATGAGATATGAACAAAATTTCTTTTACCAAACACCCTCTCACAAATAGACATATTTCGTTAAACATTTTGTACAAATATTTTGTGGAATGTTTCTAAATTCATAAAAGTGTTGGGATAAAGCTTATTTATTATGATTTTTCAAACAAAAAAATTCTAATAGTACTGTTACATTATAATGTTTATGTCATATTGTTAACCTAATAGAATATACTTGATAGATATAAAAAGCAGTTGCATCGTCTAATTTCAAGTCACTGGTTAGTTAAGTAGGGTAAGTAGGAGTGAAGCTTTTACTAGAGGTTGAGAAACCCAATTTCCACCTAATGTACTGTTACTTATTCCAACCAATACATTTTTCTTTTATCACAAAATCAAAAGCAATTGAAATCATTGAATTTATTTAAGATTAGGTTAACGACTTATTTTATTTTTAAATAATTTTTTGACAATAAATTAGGTATCATTATTTTATTTATTCCTATATTTGAATCAAATCAATAATATGTTATAAAAAAATTGTAAAAAAAGTTGTTAAAAGACAATTTTCTTTCATTTAATTTCTTGCACTAATCAAATAATAACGAATCTCTGAACCCTAAAAATAAAGGCCTACCTTTGGGGCAGATTGAAGATATTCTGCAACCATTGTAATTGGTCCCCAAGCCCCAGAGAAGAAGTTTTCATAAATTAAATGCATATAGGATTTGGTAGAAAAGATTTGCCCATTTGATGTGAATGATAAAGTACTCTTGTTGACCAGGTACACTGTTCGTTCACTTCCCTCGTGTTATTAAACTATCATGCTACAGAAAGCTTGGTGGGTCTCAATTCATGAACGTCTTAAATCGATCTTCATATTCTAGTTTTGGTACCATCATGCCTTTCCTTTTTTAAAATGTAGATCAATACTTAAGTAAAGTTGTGTTGAGTTTAAAGGCATGAAATATATACATATATATGCAAAAGGTTATCTTTTAATAGAGCTGGTTGGGTTTGAAAGACTTAAAATATTAAGAATGAATTATTTTATTAATAAAATGATTTATGTTAAAATATGTTATAGTTTTATTTAAAACTTATTTTTCGAGTTTTCTATTTTAAGAATTTTATTTAGAATTTAGGTAATCAGTATTAAAAAATGTCTTTGAAATATTTTTTTTATTGGAAATTTAAATTAAAAGAATATTTTTTGAGTCTTTTTTATTTTAAAAGTAATAATATAGTCACATGTTTATATACATTGAATATATATTATAAGAATAAACTAATTACTTAATAATGAACTTTTGTATTTTTAAACAAGAAAAAGTAAAAAAAGATAATATTAAATGAATATAAAATTTTTTGTTTCATGAAAGTTTAAAACAAGTTTTATCTACTTAATATGAAGAGTCTGTGGATTTGACGTGGACACTTGCATGGATTATTTATGAATTCCCTGGAACTTCACTTGTTGAAAAGAAGAGTATGGTCCCAAGACTTTGGTAGTTGGAAAGATTAGGCATGTGTGGGTATGAATTCCATAGGTACCACATTGAACTCACTAATTATTTAGTTAGACAATTCAACGTTCACCTAACATGCCGCAAGAATGAAAAAACATTGACAGATTTGAATCCATGCTGTCGTGAAGAAAGGAGAAACAGATTATAGTTCCAGCCTAATCCTAATCATGTCCATTTCAACTTTCAACACTCATCTTTTGCTTATAATATTTGAAAGCCGGAATCTACTTGCATTACAAATATTAATAGTGTAACTTGAAAGATGAAGTGTTATCAACTTATGATCATGCTTTAAAATCTTAAATATGCTTATCAAAGAAGGAATGCATTTCAATTTTAGAGGGCCATGATATAATATGGGTTTTTCACATATAATATGGGCCATGATCTTCTCTATCTCAAGTGAAATATGTGCTCAGTGTATGTGTCTGAGATTTAGATAGTAATAAATAAAAAACTAGATACATTGAAACTTAAGATGTTTTGAACTTGCATTATGATATTAAGGTGAACCTTTTCAAGAGAAAAATTAAAAGGGTAGTGGGGGTAGAGAAGAATACCATTGAAAGATATTCTAAAATACTAAATTATAACATTATGAGTTTCCTGTTTAGATATTTAGCTATGCCACTGGGGAAAAATCCTAAAAAACACTCTTTTTGGAAAAATGTACTCAACAAATAAAAGAAGATATAAAAGGAAACATTTATCATTTACAGAAAGAACATGTCTAATAAAATCTATAATAACAATATTGTCATCGTTTTACTTGTCATTCTTCAAAATGTCAATGTGTGTGGGGAAGGAAAACAAGAAAATCCAAATTTATTTTTTATTTTTGCTAAGACAGCCACAACATACATTCCTTTTCTTACCAACAATT